AGCAAAAATCTCTTTAAAAAAAAAAAATGCCACACGAGTGCTCCCGGAAGGGACATAGGCCGCAGGTACACACGCGCTCCGGGTCCACTCTCCACCCCAGACTCCACCCCACAGGGTGCCCGGCACCTGCCCCGTGCCCCCTGGCACCTGCCCTGCACTCCCAATGCCCCATGGCAGCAGGGCCTTAACTGGAGAGGTCAGCCCATAGGCTGGCCAACCGAGCCCACCAGGAGGGCACCACTGTTCCCGGGGGCTCTGTGAACTGCCCCAGTTCTAAGCTGGACGCGTCTAGGCAGCAACAGAAAAGGTCCCACTCGAAGCCCTCCCCTGCCAACACGTAAAGGCAGCGCTGGGGGCCGTGCCGTGGTGAAGCATTGGCTCCACCGTGCTGGTCAGCTGGGGTCCCAGACCTGGACGCTGGAAACTCACGCTGGGCACGTGCGTGCTGCCCAGAACCTGGAGGAGACGGGGCTGTGGCCTGGCCAACCCCCAAGGGGCAACTTCTCACTGTCCCTCTGTCCCCACCTGGCGAGGGCACAGGCCCTGTGGAAAGAACCTAGAAAGCAATCGTTTCAACCCGACGCAGCTCCGCGCTCGAGTCACAGAGCTCCACCCTTGCTGGCTCGGCACCCACCCCTGCTCGCCCAGCACCCCCGCCCCCACCGACTCGGCACCCTGATCCCCGCTGGCTCAGCACCCCACCCCTGCTCACTTGGCGCCCCCTCCGATGGGGTCAACGTCCCCCAAGGTTCCCCTGAAGCCCCACCGCTAAGGAGAGCGGTAGCTGTGCCCATGCGAGTCCAAGCGGCACCCACAGAAGGCACAGGTCCGGCCGGCCCACACAGCGTGTACGGGCTGCAAAACACTGGGCCGCGTCTCAGTCTGGCCCACACAGACCCAGGACGCTCACAGGCCCCACTGAGGCTTCCTCACTGCAACACCAGGGAGCATGGCGACCCCAGCCCGGGGGAAGGCCAAGGCCTCGCTTTGCCGCCATCTCTGCTCCCTTCCCGCCTGCACGGCCAGCCTCTCCCGGCTGCAGAACTCGGGGACTGCCCTACCCCCGGTGTCCTCACGGCCACTACAGGGCCCAGGGACATCCCAACCCACTCAAGGGCAGCCCTGGCCACCGGGCAGCTGCGAGCCTCCTGGGACCTCGTTTCAGGTGACCACGGGAGGACGGGTGCCACAGCTGCGGGGTGTACCTAGGGCCTCCACCGAGGACACAGAGGTGGTACTCGGCCGCGCAGATCCCGAGGCCTCGCAACACCGTCTGCTAGGTCAGTGTTCAGGAAGGTGGAAGCAGCCGCTCCCTGACCCCGAACGCGCCCCGGAGCACACGAACAGAGGCGGGGTACCCAGGGCACCGCTCTGCAGGTTGCTGCTTCCTGAGTGTGTGCCTAGAAACCCCACAGCACCCGCCTGTGTGGGCAGGTCATCCCCTCCACTGCGCGCTGGACACAGCGGG